CCTTACAAAAGCCCACTACAGGGGGCGGCTGATATTACCAGCCACCCCTACAGAGGGCACTGTAGGGGTGGCTGAAAACACTAGCCACCCCTACAGAGGGCACTGCAAGGGCGGTCAGAAAACCACTCCTACAGAGGCACCCTCTGTAAGAACACCCTGGAAAGAACGGCTGGCGCAGCCGCCCCTATAGTTAACTTGTGTGGTAGTAGCTATTCTGCTCTCACTGGCCATCACTAAACTCTATGGCCACTCAAAGCTTATTGCTTGTTTTGTTGTCAGGGTGAGCACGCCACTACTAAGACAATAAGACTTATAAGGTTGTACTGTATATATATTATATATATTTAGTAAGTACTCTACAAGTATTCCTCCATTGTAAGTATCACGTAGCCAATCAGATGCATTCTTATCCCTTTCGTGAATGTTGCAAAGGTGCTCTGATCTAAGTGTGTGTTTGGACTCTGGACCACCGATCGATGCTGCCAAAAGAATATATGGCCGGCGGCTAAGAGTTGGATTATATAAATAAGTAAAAAAATCAATTAATTCGTAGTGGTGCACTAACCCATATACTTGATTGATTAGTATAGTATTAGAACTCGATTATTCAGGGGCGGTACTGCCTGCCTGAGGTTGAGGGTTCGTACTTGTTTGAAAATAGAGCCAAAGGTGTGCGCATATATAAATGAAAAAACAATGTAACATCATGTAATTGGTCCCTGGGTTCAACCTCAACATATCTAAGAGTACAAAGACATCGTATTCCTTGGAAAAGCTTGTTTTCTTGTAGGAGTTGTACTTGATATGATTTAAATGTTGAGTTAATTCATGTCATCTGAAGATGCATTGTCATGCTCAGTTAGCACAAACATTATGTTTATCAAAACTCACTGGAGTCTGCTTGCACCATATAAATCGAAGCATCGTTCGTCTATGCGCCGACATGTGCTGCCACAATAAAAGCTATGCACGTAGAAAAGCCAGAACGACATACAATCTGGAAGGTCGGAGTAGTGGGCAAATACCCAACTAATCCGGGGTAAAAGCATCAACCGACAACAAAAAGACCAAAATACCCTGCTAATAGTGCCAAAATATAGCACATGTAGAGATCCAAACAATTCCCAGGGCACAACTGACTTTTAACATGATTCTACATATCTATATATTGTATTGTACATACTCTTGACCTATTTTTTTACGCAACCGAGGCACTCTATTTTAGTGCTATTCGTTTGTTAGTCATCATGTCTCGAGGCACTTTTGTCACAAATCATAGAAGCTTCGTGGAAGTCCAAGCCTACTGAGGAAGAAAAAGAAAATAAGTGATTATCAAGGGGGATTTTCTATCTCCCTTAAGAGCAATTTAAACATGCCTTCACACTAAATCCTTTTAATTATTTGCATGTGACTTCTGAGAAATCTTTTAATTGCTGTAATAGTATATTTATTCAAATTGTTTAATGCTTTAATTAAAGAAAGAAAAAGAAGAAATGTTTCCCGAGTGAAGAATGAATCTGTTCAATTTGAACCATTTTTTGTTAGACTAGTTGAGAGTAACGTGGTGATTGAAATGGCTTTCGAACAACAAGTTCATTTAGTAATAAGAGTTAAAAAAAACTCACTCACGGAACTACACTGGTAGGTGGTTAGTCCGCACTGCGCCGCACAAGCAGAATTTGGTCGAGCGGAGAGAAGGGATGCATGATGTCTCGGCATCTCGAAGCTGGGCCGCTCGAGCAGGCCGTGGCGTCACCCTGGAGCTCGATGTTGGTCTGGGCTATAATAAGTTTGGGCCTTTAAAACTAGTCAAACAATTTGGATCAAAATCTATGATAGTTGCAGCTGGACTGCTGCACTGCGATCCGTGCGCGAGGATAATAGGCTGCCGAAACGTTTATATTTTTAGTATCTTAACGACCTAAAATGTAAAAACTTAAAACTATAAAGTTAGATCTCGATAAGAACTACAATATTCATATAAAAAGTATCTTCCTTTGACACCACAAAGATATTATTTTTCTAAGGCAACAAACGTGTGTATGCGATTATTATGCTACTGAAATTTTATACTATTTTTTTAGCATTTTTTTGCGAGTAAAGAGAGCCTTTATTAACTAGACACCATCGTTAACACAATCGGCATTCAGAGGGTCCCAAGCACACAGATGCGTGGCCCAACCAAGCCGCAAAATGTTTGCTACATCTAGCTAACTTAGGCATAGCATTTAGCATCTTAACAAGCTCAAATGAGAAAACTCAAAAATAAAAAGTTATAGATCAATTTTTCATATACAAATCATATTTATCCGACAGCGTATGAAAAAATATGATTTTTCTAATATTGAGTCTTGCCACGCCCGGTTGGCGGTACAAAACCTGATAGATCTTGCCGCGCCAACACATGTGGTGTGGCGTAGCAGAGTGATTTTGTCGCACAAAGGGAGAGTTGTCGTGATAAAAAAGGATAAAAATAAAAATAAAAAAATAAGTGAGGCTATTTTGAAATAAAAGGGAAAAAATTCCCATGGGTTATGCAGTAGGCGAGCTTCTTCCTGTTACCCACGCCATAGCAAGGTCATCACTTTTTAACAAAAGCTCCAGCGCACAGCAGTTAGCAGGCGGTGAAGCACGCGAAGGTTCCACGGTCCGCGGTGGTTGCGGAACGTCTGCAAAGGTACAGCCACCATACCATCAAGGTGCGGTCGGTCATTCATGAAGCCGAATTTTATTTTGCTTTTTTTTTAAATATTCACCCAGAAGTTTGTTTTTGTTTTCTAGAGACCTGGGCTCAGCGCCATAGCACGTCTCGGTACTGTATGGTTTGGCAACGAGGTGCGAGGCCTGGGTCAGCGTGGTCCTCGCCGCCGAGATCCATGACGCTAACCTCGGCACCGTTGGATTTGGAGCCTCGTTACTCGCAAAAAATGCTAAAAAAAATAAAATTCGGTCCATGAAGCCCCAAGCTCCTGGCTCATGCAGCGGCCCGCACGGCCCAACCTTCCCTTCGGTTCTAGCGAAATATCTCGCGCCGTTCGCTTGGCTGAAAAAATAACTCTTCTATTTGATTTATTGTAAGAGAAAACACTGTTCTGGATAAAAAAACAAGTTTAAAAAACAGATTATAAGAGCGAACAGACCCAAGCGCCAAAGAACTAACTTTTTTTTTTTTGCAGGTGTAAAATCTATTTCTTACTTATTCGTGGCTCTTATCCAGTTTCATTGAACAATTTGTCATTTTTTGACCGATGTTTATCTTCGATGAGGCGTACGCTAACAATTTGTCATATTGTTATAAGTTCAGAACATTCTTGGGTAACGTCTTTCGGCAAAGGTCATAAATTCCAAAAAAAAAAAAATCAATGAGTTTTTACTCCTGTGGTTCTCTCAAAAAAAGATCGCATGAATTTTAAAGCAGACAGTAATTATTTTTTAATTAATTTCGTCATGCGTCTATCTATCCTATAGATCCAGGCTCCGGCTGCCCTGAAATCCGCGGGCTCCCGACTCGAATAGGTGAATAGGTTATGTTGTCCAAGATATTTTCCATTTTCTAATGAAAAAAAAATGTGTGTTCATCGTCTACTCTGAACACATCCCAAATCTGACCGGCACACCACTGTTCTCCTCTAGCTGACTCGCTCCCTAGTCCAAACACGCTACTCCGTCTAGCTGGCTCTGTCGCCTCCGGCCCTCCGCCACCGCAGGCATTCTGATCCATCCCCTCTGCCACCGCTGCCGCCCGCAGGTCCTCTCCGCGTGCGGCCGCTGTACCCCGCTCTTCATTCGCGGGTAGCCGGAGTAAGCGGCGGCGGATCTAGCGGTGGGGCGGGCGGGGCTCAAGCCCCCCCTACCGCTAGTGGAGCAGTGGAACCCTCGTGGAGCTTCCATAAATTTTTAGACAAAGTTAGGTGGGACTGAGGCTTACGATCGAGCAGCAGCATCAGTCGAAGGTACGTGTTGTTCAGTCCCTAAAATTATTCCTGTATCGCCGCTGGGAGTAAGCGGATATCCGAGCATCCCTTGCTCCCTTCCTTTGCTGGTTTCAAATGCAATCCGGGGACCTAACACCAATACCAGCGCGCAGGCAACGCCAGAACGAAGCATCGCCTCGACTGCGTAGCTCCGGCTTCTTCAGGTAGTCAATAATTCTCCCTACGTTTCAATTGTTAGTTTCCTTTCGTTTCTTCTCTTTCCTGATTTGTGTACCTACCTTTTTTATAACACACACACACACACACACTTATATATATATATACACACTAATCAGTACTCAGTAGGCTGTCCTGTTCATGTTTGCAGCTTTGGATCATTTGTCAGTCACATAGGAATACAGAGTATACACCTCCTTAGCGCCAACCGCCCCCCCCAAAAAAAAAAAAAAAGATAAGAAAAAATTATATCCATACGAAGAGAATCCCAAAATAAGTCATATATACATATACTCATCCACATGTTAAACTTGTAAGCTTTAGGAAAAGAAAATTTTGGCCCTGGTATTCAAATTGGCAGTGCCCTTCAATCCCACTTTTTTTACATGATTCAAACTGCAACTTTATTTACTAAATTGGCTTTGCACTGGTAAAATACTTGGTGATTTTCAAAATTTTAATGATTTTCTGATTATAAACTTTTTTTTTGTGCAAACCAGCCAGGCTATGGTGTCCGGGAGCTGAAAATCTGCACCCACATCCACACGCCTGCTTTTGCTGCATCGGAAGATGCTGTCTTCGCTTCCAACATGATGTAGGTCATCTGACCTTTTATCAAAACATTGTTTTTTCCACACGATGCCACCTAGGTCATCAGAAGCCTGCTAATTTTTAACCGTGTTTTCTGAATAAAGCTCACCTTGTGTTTGGCACCAAATTTGCCTCGGATGTTGGAGAGACACCACTCAAACACATGCCACAGTAAGCCTGCCTATATGTTTGCAAAATTGTTCATAGCAAAGTGCCAAAGTTTGTATAAAAAAGATACAGAGGCACATCTTAGTGCAAATGGATCACCAAATCAGAGTTCGCCGAAGTGATCTGGAAAGCATGTTATTAGATGAAAGTATACAGCCCAGGGACCTTCCATTACCACTTTTAGAAGACATCACAGGAGGCTTCTCCTCTGATCAAGAAATTGGCAGAGGTGGGTTCGCGGTGGTTTATAAGGTACTATATATGACTAGCCATTATCTGAGTTTTGATGAAAAACTATTCTAGACAATGCTGACACTACAGGTCCTTCACATGCAGGGAACGCTTACGAATGGCGCAGTCGCTGTAAAGAAGTTGATCAACACACATATTCATGAGACTAAGTTCCAGCAAGAGGTTGGTTGTCTCATGAAGGCGAAGCACAAAAATGTTGTGCAGTTTCTGGGGTACTGTGCTGATACACAAGGTAAAATGGCTAACTACAACGGGAAATTTGTCATGGCAGATGTACAACAAAGATTGCTATGCTTTGAATATCTACCAAGGAGTCTTGATGTTTACATTACAGGTACGGTCATGTGGAACCCAACATTTCTTTGCATATTTTCCCATAATCAGAGATCATTTCATTTGAATATTCCACAGAAAAAAAATGAAATTGTATGCATCTCATCTTTTTTATTATCACTCAAGATATTAAAGAATTGAAGTATCTCACTAAACTCTGTTTCCTCACTTTATAGATGCATCTAATCGGCTTGAATGGACAAAGTTATACCAAATAATCAAGGGTATCTGCGAGGGTTTGCATTACCTTCATGAGAACAAAATTGTACATCTAGATATCAAACCTTCCAATATACTGCTAGATGATAATATGGTACCAAAAATTGCTGATTTTGGTCTCTCAAGGTGCTTTGATGAAAATCAGAGTCGGGCTGTTACTTCAAAATTGATTGGATCGATGTAAGTTTATTAAGCCACTTGATGGAACTTTTTCTTGGTTATAGGTACGAAGAATACTCTGGTGGTTCCTCCCATTCATTGACCAGATTGTACAAATTTTAATGCAGGGGATATATGGCACCAGAATTCTATAGTGGGGAAATCACATTCAAGTCAGACATATATAGCCTTGGTGTTATAATCACAGAAATACTGACAGGAAAAAAGGGGTATGCCGAAATTGATAATGTAAGAAAAGCTATTTGGCTGTTCCTAGATAAGCATTACAATTTAAACAAGGGGAGTTTTGCACCTTTGCCATTAGTCCAACTCCTAACTTACATTGTACCATGACTTGACTACACATTGTACCCTGTTCCATCAATTAATTTGTACGCTTATCATTTCTGTCAATTATCCAGCAATGTACATTACCAACTCTAACCCTAAGATAATGAGCACAAGTGACAGAATCCTATAGTGGAGGTCAGTTTAGCAGCAAATGTGTACTCCTAGAGAAAAATTTGAGAACATATTCATATATATATTTGGGCATGCCATGCATACTCGTATTTTTTTTCTAATAGTGTGTACTTCAGTTCCCAGAAAACTGTTTTGATACTCACAAATTAAGTACTGGTTAGCCCTCCATCTTTTTTTTTTGTGCATAACACAAAAATAGATATTTTTGTTAAAAACTACATTTTTAGAGTGTTCTGACATTCAGGTCTCATGATGTTTGCAAAATAATTTAAAGTATCAATTAATTCTTTAAAATTTGTTTTCGAAAGGTATTTATGTCAACTCTTTTACTATATACATCGTTTCCCTATCAAAAAAAAAACCTTTCTGTAACACAAAACTCACGGCTATAGGTACTTGAAAGTTGGAGGAACATGGTGGGGATATCACAAGGAAACAAAGAGTTGGAACAAATAAGAGTATGCGCTGAGATTGGATTAGAGTGCATCGACAGTAATCCTAGGAGAAGGCTAACTACTGAGCATATACTTGACCGACTTTATCAAATGGAAAGTACGAACCTGTCCACAGAAACTAGTGAGAATAGTACATCAGTAATGACTGTAAGTATTTTATATTTCACCTCTTTGAGTAAATTGATATTAGATTGTAGTTTCTGCATTATTACACCTTAGGTCCTAATAAATCACATATAGTTTTTGCAAATTTATTTATTCGAGTAATGAACTCTCTTGCCCTCTCTTACACAATATGTTCCCACACAGGGTTTTGCCTTTTTGCAACAAAACATTAGAGAACATAGGGAATAATGGTCCAAAGTTATATGTCTCGTTTCCATATTAATTGGTAAACACACAGTAGTTTCTTTATCATATTCAGGCGAAGGTGCTATCATGACCTTCGGATGATTGGACATTATGTTGTGCTTTACATTTTGCTATAAGAGTTTGTATATTCTCCTTTAATATATTTCTTTATTCTATTCAGCAACCAGAGTGTTACATCAGTGAAGGTTGTCACCCATCTGCTTCCACAGCCAAAAAGCCCAATGATGAGTAAGTTGAAATGCATGATGGGAAAATGTACTATAGTAATCATCCCAGCAAGAACAAGAATATGTTGGTTACTAGCTGGTGCATATATGTATTAAGTTTGATCATCCATAAGCCTTACACTATTTTTACTGCATTATGATATCTTCCGTTTAAATTTGTAAGGGGATGTGGCAAACCCAATATTAAATTTGCTAGAGTTAATTATGTCCTTCACCAACCCTCTTTATACAATAAAACCATCAGAGTGAATTTTCTAAAATTTTGTTAGACATAACTGCTTTACATTTCTGTCATCATATTAGATATGTTAACTTCTCTTTAGAATCAACAAGGTACATATATAATCCTTGCTAAGATTAGCATTTATCTACCATTTTCAGGCCATCAGTTAAGCAGAAAAGGGATTCTAAATGTCAACAGGAATCTGTCAATAATAACCAATGCAGTGGCTATTACACATGGGAAGAAATAAAAATAGAAAAAGGAGACAATTATTTCAATGCCAGTTTGCACGATGACCAAACGAGCAAAAATTTGGACTATTTTGTGGTAGTAGATTTTAAGGCGACCTGTGAGAAGGGCAAGCAGATCAACCCACATGAGATCATCGAGTTCTCATCAGTGCTCGTTGACGGTGCCACTGGCCAGCTAGAGTCCACATTCCACACCTATGTCCGACCACAACAGCACCCCAAACTGACGGACTACTGCAGGGACCTCAACGGCATCCGGCAAAAAGATGTCAACGCCGGCGTGGATCTAGCCGTGGCGCTTCAGAAGCATGGCGCATGGCTACAGAAGATGGGGACAAAGAAATGCTCTGGCTTTCGCTTCGTCGTGGTGACGTGGGGGAACTGGGACTGCCGGAGCATGCTGGAGCTGGAGTGCCGGTTCAAGGGGATTGGCAGGCCACCATACTTCGACCGGTGGATCAACCTGAGGATCCCCTTTGTGGCGGCATTCGGCGGCAGTAAGCCAAGGGCCAATTTGGCAGATGCAGTCAGGATGGCAGGGATGGAGTGGGAGGGTCGCCCATGTGGAGCGTCTGATGACGCCCGCAACACAGCACGGCTCCTTGGGGAGCTGATGCGGCTGGGCACCCAGCTTGGCATCACAAGCTCGGTGGCGCCGATGCCGGCACCACAGCTGCTGTAATTCCAGGGACAGTGTGGCCTCGTTGCCATTGGGAGCAATGTGCATGGTATGATACCTCTCATGTGGCCAAGTTGTTACTTGTTAGCGTGAAATAATCATGTTGGAGTTCATGTCAGAATAAGAGTCTCGGAGCCAATCATGGAACATGTATTCTCTTTCCTGAAGCCAACTTCCAGTTTTGCAGAGGTTCGATATATAGAACATGTGTGTACATTATATTGTTTAGTCACGACTCACGAGTAGTCAGTCAATCAGTGATTTGAGAAATATACTCCTATATATATACTATGTGGCGCATGAGGTCTCATGCACGTTCTGACAATACGCCAGCAACAAGCAAGAAAATGTTGCGGCAGACCATTTCCTTCTGGTCCAGCCCTGCGACACATTGCAAACGGCTTATTTTGTGAATGCGTCACGGATGTGTGTCAACCACGACACAAAAGCACATAACTGTCGCGGATGTGCTTGATTTGTTTTGCACCAGTTTAAGGGGCAAAACTGCATTTACTTGGATAATGGACATGATGCACTGACTCTGACTGTACGTTCAGCCTTTCAAGCGCCTTCTCCTTGAGGCCTTATTTGGATACGCATGTATTCATCTCAATCTACGTGTGTTGAAGTAGATTATAGTGGAATTAAACTAAATTCCATTCCAATCCACTACAACACATGTGGATTCCAAACAAGGCCAAACCTGTAATTTCTCTTCCCCATGGTTCAGAAATTACAGCACCTTAGTCCTCTACTCCTCTTGTACCAAATGTAGCAACAAGAAATCGGATTCAAGCGCCTTCTGAGAATTTCTGAACCTGTGGTTTTCTACCACATGCAGTCCTCGAGTTATTTTTTTATAGTCACAAGGGCAAAAATGGATAATTTTAAAGTATGTGTAGAGTACTTTGAGGTAATTTGGGTTAGTTAGTAAAAAAAAGATATATATTTAGAGTTTACTTTAAGCTATTATCATAGTTGCAAAGGAGGATATTTTTGAAAAGTATAATGTATTCAGTGGCTATTGTTGTTAATGATTATTTGGATCCACCACTTGATCTTTTTCTATAAAGGAAGTTGTTATGAATTTCAAGGTAACTACATAAAGATAATACAATCACCTTGAAAGCACTATTGACCATTCCATATCAAGATATGCACACAGCAAGATGGAAGAGCAAGGGTACATTAGTCTAATAATTATCACTCCAAAGACTAGCTAGAATGCCACCGATTTGCTTGAGAAAACAAAAACTGATCACTTGCACCACCGCGACGCCTCACTGCCAACTCCCAAGACACTGAAGACACTAGCTTTCTGTAGGATAGCCACATACGAAGCCAATTGATGACTGAAGATGACTTACAAAGGAAGAAGATGAAATTTTGTTTTAAAATACTAAGTCATTCCTGTAAAGACAAAGCGACTAGCGGAATAACAGAAATTGTGACACACTACGTACTGAACTTATTGAGAAAGACCCCAAGGCACATTTGACTTATAGCCCTACAAACACGAGCAGACAGCAATTGAAAAATTGATGCTTAATTGTCTCACCAATGTGAAGAACCGTTTCCCTTTTGCCAAATTATATATTTTTTTCTAGTACTTTTGCCAAATTATCTTTAGTCAACACTACTCCAATATATATAAATAAATACCATAAAAGGATTTTCTTTTCAAGACATCACCAAAAGGGTGAGAGCCCCATCTGAATGAATTTTTCATTGATGCCAGCAAGCCGGTGGATGAATGGTGCCGGGGCACCTACGAGCGTCAAAAGAAAAGACCCGATGTCATTGAGATAAAAGGGTCTTGGTTTTGAAGGGAACGCATGGCAGTGAGACTTCGATGGGAAAATTCCCACATATAAACCAGAATATGTAGATTAGTGGCGAGAAATACCTCCTTTTTATTAGATACACAAGTTGTTGACTCGGTGCTTTTGTTTTCTTCTTTATTTCTCTAGAAGTCGAACTTCTACAGGATGCTTGGCCATACCATGTCCACTGCACTAGTATAACACATTTTTCTCAAAATATCCATGGTCGTTTTTGTATATTTGATTTATGAAAAACTTCACAACTTTTTAGGAGAGTGAGTCTCCATGGCCACTGACATTTCTGTCAACGCCACATGGCTCTGTCTATGAGGTCTACAGTACTGCGGCGGTGTCCACCCTGACACTGTGTTTGCTGGACCTGCTGGTCGTGTGATCAGAGCTGCACGTTTATATGTCTCCTAGCTCTAGGCGTTGTTTAAATTTAGGTGTAAAATTTTGGGGTGTCATGTGACGTGGAGATATCGTATGGGGTGTTTGGATACTAATAAAAAAAATAAATTATAGAATCCATCAGTAATCCGTGAGACGAATTTATTAAGCCTAATTAATCCGCTGTTAGCATATGTGTTACTGTAGCACCACATTGTCAAATCATTGACTAATTAGGCTTAAAAAATTCGTCTCGCAAATTAGTTGTAAACTATGTAATTAGTTATATTTTAGTCTATATTTAATATTCTATGTATGTATCTAAATATTCGATGAGATAGAGAGTAAACTTTAGGTGAGAAACTAAATAGGGTCTTGTTTTGTTTTGTAGGATATAATTAAATCACACATCGTTTCTCACAATTTTATAGCCATTCTCACTGTGAACAGGGAGGCACAGGAGAGCGCGTGAACACTAGAAACTCTGTCGATGCCATATGATGACCATACGTCCGGCAGTTGACGATGTATTGGTGTGCCTTGGGCGTTCTACCGAACCGAACCGATCGGTTCTTCGGTTTTTGAAGAAGTTCGGTTCTCAAAAAACCAGTACCGATCGGTTCTTCAAAAAATATGAAACCGACCAAGTTCGATATCGATTCTTTCGGTTCAGTTCCGGGTAGAACCGAAAAACCGAACAATACCCAAAATCCATGTAATAGCATGTTCAATAGCAAATTTTGACATCATTTCAACATGGGCCCCGTTCGCTGGTCTGAAACTTGGCTGAAAATACTGTTCCGGCTGGTTTGTTGTGAGAAAAACACTGTTCGGCTGGTTTTGTGAACAGTAAATTGTGAGGGGGAGCAGTCGGCTGGCTGGTCTTTCCAGACCAGCGAACACAGCCATGATTGCACACAAAATCACAGTGACAAATATAACAATCAAACAGAGTAACAAATACATAAATAGAGTGCTAACTTCTAAAGCAAGGCATCAGCATTCAGCAAGAATGCAAGACAGCTGGGCTGGGTCTTATTGCCTAATGGGCTGGTTCCTCGATTAGTTCGGTTAACCGAGGGGGGAACCGATTTTACCGAACAAATTTCGGTTCCTCGAAAATGAGAACCGAACAGGGAACCGAGACTTCGGTTCTTGGTTTTTTCGGTTCGGTTCTCGGTAAAATTTGCCCAGTGCTAGGTGTGCATGCTTGCTTGCCATGTGCATTATTTTGTCTCCCTCAAAAAAAAATAGGTTCAAAGCTATAATTATGTTTTTTTATGAAGGGAGTACATGTTTTTTTTTTGTTAGAAGCTGATATATTATTTGTCATATTTATAGTTAATTTGGCATAGCTTCTTGTCAGGGACGGAGCCAGGATCGATATATAGAGGGGTCGATCCACCGAGGCATAGGATGACAAAAATATATAAAAGTTTACAAAGGTCCTCATTATCGGCATAAAAAGACTAGCAATTGTTTTTACCTCTTCGTCTGGGGCAAATGCTAAATGTCTAAATGGATGAGATAATATTACATTTATTTAATCTAGCTAGCAACTTAGTGACATTTGGCTTTAAGAGATGATTCGCTGATTTGAGAATGGAGAAAAAAATAAACTATTACTACTGTGACGCGTGCTGCAGTACCTTGCCGCTTTAGCATCTCTTCCAGGTTGTAGCTTGCAGCTTGAAGCTTTCTAACTGCCTCTTTGTTCTGCGCTACTACTTCAGCAGTATTTTTTCAATGAACGAATAATGTTTTTCTTTCACAATAAATTAGCGTAAGTCAAATTTTGGTACTCGTGACAGGCAACAACACGGACGGAGAGCCCAAGAAAACGATGGCAATCTGCGGAGCCAGGCTTAGCATGACTGTTTAGGGTGATTAAGTAGGACATCTAATGAAGCCCATGGAACATTAAGGGGGCCAGGCCCCGCCCACCCCCCTTGTCTTTGCCCCTGCTTCTCGTGGCTATGGCTCCTCTATGTACTGTAGCAGCATTGTTCATATTAGCTGTTTTTCTCTCCCATGGTGAAATGAACTAGAGTTCATAGAAGCCACGTTTTATTGCTTCTCCGGTATTATAGCAAGGAGCAAGAATTAAAGGAGTCCAACTAAACATGATCTTAGTAGAATGATTTTGAAAGCTCTCACACATTTCCGATTACTTTAAGATATTATCATGACTGCAAGGGAGCGATTACTTTAAGATATTATCATGACTGCAAGGGAGGGTATCTTTTTGAACAATAGAATGTATTTCGGTGGCTATTGTTGCTAGTGATTAATAGGGTATACCACTTGATCTTTTTCAATGATGGAAGTTTTTATTAGTTTCAAGATAATATAATCATCTTGAAAGCACTCTTAACCTTTCCATATATATGCAAACGGCCAGATGAAAGAACAACAGTAGATATATACTCTAATCTAATAGTTATCACTCCGAAGACTAGCTAGACTGCAAGTACTGTAGCAACGATGTGTTTTATATCCTACAAAAGTTAGGAGACATAATTGTGCAGATCAGATCATGGCCGTGTACATCCTGATATGGAAATGTTAAGTGAGCACTAGAATTCAACCCTGTTTACTTTTGGAAAAATGAAATTTGTTCAATTTTTAAACCTTGTCTTCTTTAAAAACATGTCGTGCAAAGCTTTAATTCGGAAAAGTTTAGTCTAAGATTTTGAAATAGAAGTAAGAGTAAGGGTGTGTAGAAGGTTTTGGTGTAATTAGACATGCAACACAAAATTACACAAACATTTTAAATAGTTCAAATTTTTG